AACAGAGACGTGGGACCAGGGCAGACACAAACACTGACTGAACACGGGGATATAGGAACTAAGGATACACAGAGACGCGAACTAGACAAGGGGATGCAGGTGATAGGGGAGACAGAGCAACTAAAGAAGACAGAGACATAAACCATAAGACAGAACTCAAAGAAACCAAAGACTAAAAAGTATAAATAATATAATAAACTCAAATACTCTGGGTCAATGACCCAGGCATCCTAACACATACTAGATGCATACTACTACTTCCTTGTTGGATAAGGAATACTTTACCATTAACTACCTTTTCTGTATCACCTTGAGTAAAGAATACTTATTAGTTACTTATTTCCTAGGGACTGTCACTTATTGGTTTTTGTCTGTTCAATCAAATAAGGCAAAGCATTTAAAGATACAGTCATATGAAAAAAAGACACCCCGAGCTTCAAAAATGACAATACACGATTCGGTAGATTGTAGAACCAAAAACTTGACGGAAGGATTTTTAGCCTCTCACATCATTGTGGAGAAAATCTAAATCGTGCTGCCATGTTCTTTTTAAAGAGGAGAAGAAAGGCACAAGTCACACTTGTTCAGTGTTTTTCTACTTCTACTTGGGATGGGTCTCATCTCAAGAAGGACAAGTCAGCATACAGAGAGGAGGTGCAACAGCTAACGGACTGGTGTAGAGTTAACAACCTGTCTCTGAATGTGGATAACACAAAAGCGATGATTGTTGACTTCAGGAGAGCACGGAGAGATCACTGTCCACTTAACATTGATGGATCATCTCTGGAGGTCATCAAGAGCACCTAATTCCTTGCTGTCCACCTGGCAGAGGACCTCTCCTGGTCCCTCAAGACTCGCTCCATAACCAAGAAGGTTACAGCATCTGTACTTCTTGCGGAAGCTGAGAAAAGCCCATCTCCCTCCATCTATTCTTACCACGTTCTACAGAGGGATTATTGAGAGCATCGTGAGCAGCTGCATCACTGTCTGGTATGGTAACTGCACCGTATCGGTTTGCAATACCCTATAACAGATAGTGAGAGCAGCTGAGAAGATCGTTGGAGCCCCTCTCCCCTCCATCGCGGACACTTATAGCACCTGCTCCATCCACAAAGCCACCAGCATCGTGGAGGACCCCACACACACTCTTTACCCTGCTGCCTTCTGGAAAGAGGCACCTAGAACCTCACTACCAGACTATGGAACAATTAAAAGTGTTACCATAGAGAGCTTTGAAAACTCCAGTCAAAAGCTGGCTCAGACAGTCAGGGGCTGCATAGCTGTAAAGTAAAGAAGACACAACCTCTGTTACTCTATCATCACTCATTTCAAATGTCAGCACAGCCAGTCACACACACGGCAGAGTTGCAGTGATTAATCTCAGTGTGTTTTTCTTTTGTCAGACAACTTTGTGAAGATCAAATAACGATCTTATCGGCGTCAGAGCAATAGCGGAGAATTACTTTTCACGTCACTTAGCAGGTAGTATCCGTACTCCGCGATCAAATCACTGTTTTGTGCCCGTTCAGCGGAACAAAAACAGACACACGTGTAAATGAGAACAACAAAATCATAAGTGTGGCTTTGTTTAATCACAGCAGAGGTAACGATGGAGATAAGGAGGAACGTCAGCGGGGTTACAGCACCGTGTTGGCTCCATCTGGCCAGATATTAATTGCCAAGCTTAATTTTGCTGTTTATCAACCCAAAAAAGGGAGAAAAATAAGAAGAAAGGCTGTCGTTTTCATATTTCAGTCATTTAGACGCAAGTAGTTATCTTTACAAGAGCAAAACAAAACAAAAGCACTGTGATTACAGTTTCAAATTTAGAAAAATTAACGCTTTTTGGTTCATGAGCACCTGAAGTAGCATGGACGTAGAACAAAAACCCCAAGGAATGTGTTATGTTGAGCACATTTGGTCAGAAAAAACAGTGGTGAACTTTAGCACAATATAATTTAGAAGCACTTCATGCAAACAAATAACGTAGCCGCAGCTCCCAATCAGTTTGTTTTGTTTGGGGAACCAGTCTGCATTAATTAGAATCGCCTTCTCTTTTTCCCCACCCCACTCGAGACTTCCTATGCAAATGTCCTGATCAACTCCCTTTATTAAATTGGCTCATTCATCGCTACACCCATTCAGTTGGAGGCCCGTAGGTAGCCACTGCATCTTGAGTTGGAGCAGTTATCTCTGGACACGAAAAGGGTGGTGGGAGTGGGAGTGTGGTTGTGGGGTGGGGGGGCAGTATTTTCATAAACCAGGCGAGTTTGATTCAGCCATTCTGAGTGATTGGCTCCATGTTGGTATTCACTGATGCCTGGAAGAAAAAAGAAAAAGAAAGAAGGGTGGGGGCTGTTGTCAGCACATCTACACGTATGCCATAAAAATAGATGTGCCGTGGGAGATAAATCAACAGAGATGAAAGTGGAGGTGCCATACCACATTTCCAACCTGAAGCAGTTTCATTTCCTCCCTTCCTGCTCATTTCCCCAAAGAATGATTGTGTGTGTGTGTGTGTGTGTGTGTATGTCTGTCTGTCAGGCTACCAAACGAAGGGAGGGGCTGGATTTTAAATGACCTCACATGCAAAAGGACACATAATTGCCTTGCTCAGTAGACATGCTGAAAATCCAGTCAATATGGAAATCACACAGTGGTTGGGATTTGGCGCGACGTCTGCCGTCGTCCTTGTCGGGAATGTCGAGAGATCTGCTGTTATTACTGTTTCGCACCCCTTCCCGCTCTCTTTAGGCTGCTCGGATAAAGTGAGACAAATGGCTGATAGAATCTCATTTAGCATCTTAAAAAGCGCACTCGCTATTGATGATTTCTGAGTCCAATCAATCACAATACTTGAGTAATATTGAGCAAAGCAAAACTATGGTTGAAGGCACTGTCGATTGCCCAATAGCTTTTGAATGCTGGAGTAAAAGAAATGGCTGCTTTTGAGCAAACCAGCATAATGGAAAGTTGTCTGCAATTCAGGTATAAATGGATCAGATGAATGAGAAGCTAATAGTTCAGATTTTAGTTGTTTTATTTTTAATGTCTCTCCTCAGATGCCCATTAAGTGGATGGCTCTGGAGTGCATCCACTACAGGAAGTTCACACATCAGAGTGACGTGTGGAGCTACGGTGAGTGTATTTCGTGTAGGCGTCAATGTTCCTCGTGCTCCAGCGACCTCAAATCCTGTTTAGTGTATCTGCATTTGCATTTTCACCCGCTCCCTGTCTCCTGTCGTTCTCTGGGTCCCTCTGCCTCACCTTTCCCATCTTTCTCCGTCTATCTTATTAATATTTTTGTTTTTCTGCTCCTCTTCCGCACAACACACTCCAGGAGTGACCATCTGGGAGCTGATGACATTTGGAGGCAAGCCTTACGATGGGATCCCCACGCGAGAAATCCCAGACATCCTGGAAAAAGGCGAGCGCCTGCCCCAGCCGCCAATTTGCACCATAGACGTCTACATGGTCATGGTCAAATGTAAGAACACACCAACACACGCACACACACATGTCAGACTTCTTCCTGTGTCTGAAGCAAAGTGATGAGCGGGGTATAATTTTACATGTGAAAAGGAATGGCATAGATAAGCTTGCTTCTGATAAACATATCTATAAATAATAACCACATGTGAAAGTCTATTTACGCATTTAAAATTTCGTTTAAGTTTATTGCTGCTTTGCCAATAAACATGGCTTCCCTGCTTTTCATTTTCTTAATATGTATCTGGTGTCAACAGGCCACCAGCTTACAATAAAACTGTCTGAAGCTAAAAGCAATGACAATGACATAACAGCAGAACCTGTAATATTTACTAATTAACACGTAAACACACAACAGCGTTAAATTTGCTTGGCTCTCGAGAGCTGCAAGTTCTTTGGAAACTAGCATGAAGTTACTAAACTAGAAAAATAGCTCATAACTGATCAGAAACCCACAACTTTTTATTTTTAGATATAAAGAGTTTATTTAACCATGCTTTCTCCGCTCTACAAGTTAGGCTTGTAGATTAATTTGACATGTGAACAGAATGAATTGAAATTAACACATAGATCCTCCTGATAGAAGAGCGTCAGATATATTAAAAGTTATATGTGATGGCTTAATCATTCTATGGATCTTATTGGGATTTGGACACATATCATGGTAGGTATCCTCTAGAGACAGCATATAAAAGATGTAACCCTCCATGATATCAGTTACTGGATATGCTACAGTAATATCAGGGAAAACAGTGGATGGAGACCATGGAATGACCAATTTTACTGCAACTGTGTGCAATGAACTTGCACTCTTGTTTCCTTTGAAAAGCTTGCTTTCAAAAATTGAGACCAGATCTATGATCACTCCCAGTTGGTGGTCATCTCTGAGTTGACTTTGGTGCGTTAAGACTGGCAGAATGGGGTCAAGTTTGCAACTGCATGCAGTCTGGGATAATACAGTGGGGCAAAAAAGTATTTAGTCAGCCACCGATTGTGCAAGTTCCCCCACTTAAAATGATGACAGACGTCAGTAATTTGCACCAGAGGTACACTTCAACTGTGAGAGACAGAATGTGAAAAAAAAATCCTTGAATTCACATGGTAGGATTTGTAAAGAATTTATTCGTAAATCAGGGTGGAAAATAAGTATTTGGTCACCTCAAACAAGGAAAATCTCTG